GTCGCTCACTCAACAGCAGGGCATAATCTAAGTCCCTTCAGAGTTATAGGCAAACTTATATCCTTATTTAAGTAAATATTCTAATGTCCTAAATTTCCAATATTTTGATCTTTTGTTGGTGATAAGAAGACTAGAGTATGGTAAAGCCAAGCACTGTGACCCAGGTCCCAAAGCTAGTGAGTTCCCAGGGGGAGATTCTTGTCTGACTCTGACTCCAGACTCACTTTCTTTCCAGAATACTAGGTTGATATGTCACATGCAAGCACGGAAATCCCTGTAGTTCTCTTCATGGTACTGGGCCGGCTAAAATCCTGCTGGCCCCAAGTCATTGTGTTGCTACGATAATAAAAATGGTTAGGAAAAAAAAATTCAGCAGCATAAACAAGATAAAATCATAAGTTCCTTCCACTAAATATGATAAAACAGTTCTTCCCTAGTATTTATATAATGCTTGGCTCAAAGCCCTGACCTGCTGTCCTTCCTTCTGGTCAGCAGATGAGGGCCATTGCTCAGCAGCACGGTGGGCTGAGTCACGTGAAATCCAGACTAAACCGCGGGGCAGCAGGTAAGCACCGTGGCGGAGGAGATGGCCTCTAGCTCTGGGGTCACAGTTCAGCTCTTGGTCAGCCTTGGGAAACCCCTGGTACAATTCCACGGCACACTTTCATCTTGTGTCCTGCTTACTTTCACCGTTGCCTTTACCCTCACAACAGCGACTGACCTGATCCATCAGGGGACCCAACTGCCCATCTGCGTAATCCAGATTTCTCAGCATGGGTCCTAATATTCTCTGGGGTCCAGCCCTCATGTGTTTTCCAGATGACCCAAGCCGCCCTCCTTTTGGAAGCCTTTCCTACCTGTCTTACTCTCCAGCTAGCGTTGCTGTCTCTCTTTCCAGTTTCAGATTTATCTGTATCACTTTACTTCCAGCATCTTCAATACTTCACAACTGTATAAATTTGCATTTTTATCTTCTCCACCAAGCATAGACCCCCTTAAGGCAGAAACGATTATCTTCGGCTATGTAATTCCCATGATTACATGGACACTTGATAAATGTTTGTGCACACACACACACACACACACACACCACAAACACACATAATCATTATTACTACACAAGTCTCTGACATGATAATTTGACTCAGGAGTATTAGATTCTACAAAGTTGGAGAACGGAGTCTATACAACTATTCAGATTTTTACTTTCACTACAATACTCAGTAAATGACAGGAGACACTCCGTATTTTTTATAAATTAGGTTTTGTGTTTGATGATTTGTCTCAACTGTACAAGGCGACATGTAAGTATCACGAGAACCTCCAAGGCAGGACCGAATGGTTGGAGGCCTTTTTCTTTGCTGCCAAGATGAAGTGCTTGATACAAGTTAAAGGTGGAGAGGTTTGCTTTGCCTCACAGTTGGCGGAGGCTTTAGTCCATGGCCGGTGGGCGCTGCGGCAAGGGCAGCCCGGTGGAGAGGCCCAGAAGAAGGGGACAGTTCATGGCGCTGCCGGCAGGAAGTGACGTCACTGCCTTCCGGCTTCCCTTTTTCTTCCCCCCAGAATTATGCTACACCAATCAGTGGATTCCTACAGCGCCACACACCCACGATCAAGGTCCCCAAAGTCCCCCGTGAGGACTCGGCTTTAGGGGGGCATCTACTGAAGTCATAATCCTAGGCTGGGTTATATCTGGAAAGTTAGAGTTCATGGCATTTTTCAGCTTAGGGTGCGCTTACAGGAGCACTACAGAAGAGAAGCTAAGAGCTCCTGTGCTTTTACTTTGAGGATGACCACTTTCTAGAAAGACGGGCTATCCTAGAAGGGCTGGTATAGGTGCTTTGTCAAGAAGTCATCTTGAGAAGCATTTGCTTTTTGATAAGAGCAGCCTGGGCTGGCCTCCCAGGCCTTGTGGTGTGGGTGAGGAGTAACCAGCCCTCAGCATTCACCATCATTCCTATTCCCTGCCGAGGCCAGGCAGCCCACCTCCACTTGACCATCCCCTCCCACCACGCAGAGTGGGCTCTCATCCCAGGCCAGCTGTTAGCAGGGAAGGGGCTGGTGGGGGAGAAGCCCAGCCCACCTCAGGCCAGGGCTTCTGCATGGCCCACACCTGGACGGGGTGCTCACCCCAGGACCCATGAGCCACTCCAGCATTTGGGAGTCCCCATAGTGCCCTCCTGCTCCCTGGGGAGTTCCTGTGGGTCAGCTTCAACCTGTTTAAGGAACAAGGGGTGGCAGGTCTGGGTCTCACGCTCCCCCTGCTGCTTGAGGCAGTGTGACCTCCAGCACCCCCAACCTTCATGAACCTTGGCTTCCACAGATCTAGGGCACAGAGGAGGATGCCAACCTGCCTGACTGGCATGAGAGTTACAGGAGGCTCATGTGCAAAGAAGCCGGGCTCTCCTCCTGTGTGCTGGGTGCCCGGCTCTCCTCACAGACTCTTCTGTCTTTTTTCTTTGCTTGCTCATGTCCCATTTCCCTCTTCATCCTTAACAGTTCTTGGAAGCATCAGTGTATGTCTGCGCATATTTACCCTGACTGCTTTTGTTGCAGAAATACTCCACGTGCAATGCTGGAGAAGGGATCTAAGATAAAGAATACTTCTCGCAGAGCTGAGGAGACATTATTCATTTGCGTGTGTGTGTGTGTGTGTGTGTGTGTGTGTGTGTGTGTATACATACACTATGCTGTGCTGACCAGTGACCTCTCCTGGCATTTGGAGTGGGCCACTTTGGGGGACCCCCATTCTGGCAGCTTGTGTCACCACAACTTCTGCTGATCCTGCCCCTGGCTGGGCCGAGGTCCCCACAGGCTGGGGATCAGGCTGTTTCCATAGCTTACCAGGACACTGGGCAGGCAAGGGGTATAAGTGTGAGAGGAAGCAGGAAGGCAAGGCAGGGAGGAGGGAGTGGCTTGTGGGCTGCGCAGGGGAGGAGGGGATGAGGCCAGCGCCCTCCCGCACATGGACGTCAGCCCTCAGGGTGGCCGGGGCTGCGGTGCCACTCTCTCTTTGGATTCTTTTCCAAACACAGCTCAAGGTGAGATGCTCTGACTCAATCAGGGCCCATGCTGACTCCTCACAACAGCCAGAAGTGACCTCAGAGCAGGAAGAGACGTTCGAAGTCACTTCCCTTTTCCCACATGTGCCCCAAGGAGTGCCTGGCCTTCCAGTCTGTCACAAGAACTTCGTGGGGCAACTCGGGTCTGTGGCCAAGCAGGCTCGGAAGATGCCGCGTTGTTCTGCTCGCTCCCTCAAGAGCCGGCCTGCACTGTAGCAGTAAACGTGCCTCGAAGCCTCGTTACGTCACTCTCTAAGCTTGCTGTGCACATACCGTCCCTTGCCTTCAGGCTGTTCTGTGACTGTATTACCAGGCCGGCGCTCTGTAGATCGAGATGCAGACAACCGCAGCCCTACGCCTGCTCTCTATAATTTTGCTTTCTGGTTTCAGTTACCCACGGTCAACTGCAGTCTGAGACTAATAAGTGGAAAATTTCAGAATTAAACAATTTGTAATTTTAAAGTAGGTTTTATTACAGCTTACCATTGTACTATTTTACTATTAGTTGTTATTGTTACTCTTTTATTGTCTAATACATAAAATGAACTTTATCATAGGCAGGTATATAAAACAAAACAAAAAGCCTGGGATATAGAGTTTAGTTGAATCTTTGGTTTCAGGCACCCACAAGAGGTCTCGGAACACATCAGAGCAGGGGCGCCTAGTGCAGCCCAGTCCTTCACTGCGTAAGTGAGGAAGGTTCTGGTCTCAGCTGGGGAAGAGCCTGGCATCTGACCTGCCATTATCGGCTCCTATGAGCTCTCTGCTTCTCCCCTGCGATGTCGCTGGGACTTCTAGCTCCTTTAGTGAGTGCTTATTCCCAGCTGCGTTTGGATACCAGTTAACTTCACTGGCTTCTGCACACTCGTGGGGGGAGATGGAGCAGCCTCAATGATGGGAGGTCTCTGAACAAACCCGGCACCCTGGGCACAGCCTTAATCCCAGAGCTGCTGAAGTCTGACTCTTGAGCTGGTGGGAATCTCCCAGAGTCACCTGGAAGGGGATGGCTAGTGAGTTCATCTTTTCTCTTTGCTATTCATTTTCATTTTATTTTTCTTTTACTGTATTTGGTTGTTACAGGGTCTCACTACGCAGCTCAGACTCACAGTGATCCTCCTGCTTTCAGCCTCCCAAGTGTTGGGATTACAGGCATACGCCACTAGGGCAGGACTCTGGCCAGCTTAGCCTGCCCTGGGGGAGGGGCTGGTGTGGCCCGTGGTGCCGGGGATTGAATCCCGGTCCCTGCACTTGCCTAAGCAGGTGCTTTAGACTGCTGAGCTATCTCGCCAGCCCCATTATTCATCAGAAATAGCAGTTGCTCTGAGTTACTTAGGAGTGATGCAATGAAGCAAGTTCACCAACCCATACATGCGCACTGGGCAGTGAGCTCGTGACCCTGCACACAGAGCGCTGAGCCCTGAGGCCCTCCATGCTTTGCGGCACGCACACTGAGACGTGGCCTGGCAGCATTTCCCCTTAAAGATGAAAACCCTGAAGTCAGAAAGGCCAAGAAAATTGCCCAAGGCCCCAAGACCAGGAAAGGGGAGCCAGAGCCCAGGCCCAGGGACTGGGGCTTTGCAGGCCATGTTGTCAGCCTTGGGGGCCACTGTCACTGTGGACGGATAGCGTTGACGCATCATTGTTTAACAGGTCCATTTTTTCTGATACTATGCATCAGAAAACCAACACTTTAGCTGGTGCCTTGATCTCAGGGACAATCTATTTCCAGGGGAACATGTTAGCCTTACATTTGCGTCAAGCAGCCGGCACCTGCATGGGTAAAGGTGCTGGTCATGTGTCCCTGCCTCCTTGTCAGATCTAGACAGACCCAGCCCCATGCACACAGATCCCATCAGAAAACAAAATCACAGTGGGGAAAGAGCCAGCACTGTTTCCCAGATAACTATGGGAGTATGGTATGGTTGGACTCTAAATGCCTGGTTGCATTTCAAATTTATTTCCAATCATTTTTGAGTGGGATCAATGGCAAACAAAGGTGCCTTTTAGCGCAGGCACCTGCTGTTCTCCCCAAATGTCAAGGGCTGACCTTCGATGCTGCTGCCCACAGTCAGTGTCGGTGCCCTGCCTGCTTGCACCCCTGCCCCAGTCAAACCCCTGGGCCGACATCCCGCCATGCTCAGGAGACCTGCACGTCTGGACTTTCCCTCCTCTTGACGGAACAGAGGCTGGCCTCCCGGGTGGACTGCATCCCTGGAGAGTCGTCTCACACTTGGCCTCCTGCTGCCCTCCCAAGGAGGGCACCCTGTCCTCAGGTGCCAATCTCAGGAAGAGCCTGTGCCCGTGGGGTCTGCCTGGTGGTGCCAGTGAGGTTGGGAGGCGAGTTTTCAGTCCTGCACTTAGAGGAGGGCTTTGGGGAGGAGGGTCTGGCGGCCCTCAGATGAAGTACTCCTTTTTGCTGTGGTCACCGGCGTCCTGGAGGGCAGGGTCACTCTGCAGGGCCACGTCAGCACTCTCAGCAAACTCTGTGCCCTTGGCCTCGTTGGTATGGTACGTGCCTTTGTGCCGGAACAGGTACCGGAGCATGACAAGGAGAAGGCAGAGCAGGACGAGGGCCACCGCGGTGATCACAGCTGCCGAAGGAAGACATCGGAGTCAGTCCGGAGCAGGCGCCCCGGGGCTGGGAAGATTCCAGAGCCGATGGGGCTGTGTCGGCAGGATGCACATGCCGCCGCGGCAGCACCAGGCCCGGGCTGGCTGGCAGCTTCCCACCTCGTGCCTCCCCCACCGGGCACTCAAAGCTCTCTCCTCTCCTTTCTCTTCCCTGTCCCTTCTTTCCCTACCTGGTTCCTCCGCATGCTACTGCACAGAACAGCAGCCAGGGACTGTCCCTGCTGGGAGGCACTCACGTCTACTGAGGAGGGCAGATCTGTCAGGGGACCCCTGCGGAACGCGCAGCTGGTACGGGGCCACACGCGGGGTGGCTGGAACTGAGCAACTTTCGGGACGGTGAATTCCATTTCTTCAGACGATCCCAAATGGGGTTTGCTGGGACCTGCAGCTTTCTGTGTTAAAACCAGGAAAGTCCCAGAAAACGGAGAAGAATTGGTTGTTTTCTGGGCTCTCTACAAAGGATAAAATAAGCACTTCTGACGGTGCTCAGTCCAGGAGGTGGGGAGTGTGATTTTGCGAGTGCCACCTCACCCAGCCAGTGCCATTCGCTCGTGAGGAGTGAAGAGTCTTATCTATTTATTTATTTTTTAATGTATTTGTTTGGTACAGGGTCTCACTATGCATCTTGGACTTGTGGTGATCCTCCTGCTTTCAGCCTCCCCAGTGCTCAGATTACAGGTGTGTGCCACCATGCCCGGACTCTGGCTCAGCACGCCCCGGGGTTGGGGTGGCGCAGCACGTGGTCCCTGGGCTTGCCTACGCAGGCGCTTTAGTCTGCTGAGCTGTCTCGCTGGCCCGGGAGTAAAGATTCCTGAGCCTGAAGGAGTGTGCTTGGCCTTACAGAGGAGGAGTCAGTAGCCTGGGGCTGCTGGGGAGAGGGCAGGCGAGGGAGGCAGGGAGGCGGGAGGCCGGTCAGAGGGTCAGATCACCACGGCCTTGGGAGGGAGCGATGAGGTGTCAAGGCTGGGCACTTTCAGGAAGGGCTGAAGGGCAGCAGGCTCAGGGTGGGGCAGACTTCGGCCATTTGTTTTGAGGCTGCAGACTAAGCCTGTCTGGGAATTGAGTTTATTTAGGGGTTTGAAATGTTACTGGGAAAGTGGTGAGGCTAAAACTTATGCTCCCAAGTGTGAGTTTTATGGAACAATTTCCTAAACTTCTGCTTTCTGAAAGAAACATACAATGCTAACAATATGTCTAGGAAGAAGAGGCCCGATGAGGGGAAGACATGCTGGGCTGAAAACAACAGAACAGGGCTCTGATGGCTTCCTGCTGCCTCTTCCCTTTTTCTTTTAGTTGTGGAAGTTCCCTGAGCTGGGGCGGGGAGAGGGCAGGCGAGGGTGGAGGGAGGCAGGTCAGAGGGTCAGATCACCATGGGTGAAATAAACGGGGGTCAGAATGGGGAGGAGGATCTTCCCGTCCTGTGTGTGGAGGCCTCTGTCACCTGCCCTCAGCACGCTCCCCACCAGGCACCTTGCCGAGCACGAGCACGGCCTGGGTTGGGGCTGGGTTCCTTCATCCCAAGGTCAAAGCCTCCTCTGGAGGAGGAGGCGGCCCCGGGGCTCTCGCAGTTGCCAGAGAGGCCTGTCATGGGGCTCACCTGCAATAATGGCGATGTCCGTCACTGTGGAAAAGGGCATCCATGAGTCAGGAGCTGGTGCGGTGGTATGCGGTGTCCTTGGGTCAGAGTGAAACACCGAGGGGGACGCTATGGATGCCGTAGATGCTGCAAAGAGAGGACAGGAGCTGATGGCACAGGAAGGCTCTCTGCACTGACAGCCCATGCCCTCTGCACACCTGAACCCAGCTCTGTGGATGGCCCAGGCAGCCTGGAATGGCACTGCCGCCTGGGTGCGGCTAGGCTGCTACCAGGCTGGAGAACCCTGAGAGCCCTTGGAATCACCAGGCCACTCAAGACTCGGTGTCCCTGATGGGTCCCAGCACTGAGCCTGCGGCCCACATTGGAGGATGCCCCGCAGGTGGCAGGTGGCTGCAGCGCGCCCACCGGGTCTCACACAGGCCGCCGGGGAAGTGTCTGTTTCTGCCAGCTGCTGCTTTAGCCCCCTTCGGCCTATGCGCTCCTGTGGTCCTCACAGAAGTCCTGTGTTCCTTGTGTCATGAGTCTATTTGCAGATCGAACACTGAGTCTCGGATGCGATGAACCCGTGGACACACAACTCACGTGAGGAAGTGTCGGGACCTTGCCATCGTTTGTGGTTTGGGGTCCACTTTCCCTCCCTGAGGTGTTTGTACCTGGGTCTCTTTGCATGACTTTTTCCTGCAGCCCGGTGACCTCGCTATGAAGATCTTAAGGAGAGCAGCCTTGGGCTGCCGCACACAGTACCTCCTCTCCTTTGGGAGACGAGTGAGAAGGAGGACTTATCACAGAAATACGTTGACCTGGAGATGCCGCGTTCCTATTGCAGCAGCTGTGGGTGTTAAAACAAGATGAATGCTTCTTTTTTTTTTTTTTTGGTGGAACCGGGGATTGAACTCAGACCCTTGCGCTTGCCAGGGAAGCGCTTATTCCACTGAGCCATCACCCTGGCCCCCAAGATGAATGCTTCTTAATAGGCATTTCTGCTCGGAGGACCGCTGCCATTAGGTCTTTCTGCTCGGAAGACCGCTGCCCTAAGGTCTTTCTCCTCAGGAAAGCTGCCTGGGAAGAAACTGGCTGTGGGCATCAGGAGTGACAGCGAAGGAGGGGGAAACAGCCCCAGGCCGAGGACCAGCAAGGAGCCAGAGGTGCCGGAGACCGTGATGCAGAAGCTCCGAGCAGGACCTGAATCAGCCAGCTGGCTTTGCGGGTTTACTTGTGCGGCACTGGTCCCTCCTGAGGCCAGCAATGGCGGGCGAAGCACAAGGGGCCTCAGAGGACAGGACAAGGCCAGAGCTAAGGACACCTGGCTCCAACCTTGGTTAGATAGGTAGACTACATCTGCAGGCATCTCATTCCTGGGTGGAGAGCTTTCTAGAGGTGACAAAGTTCTCCTAAGTTAACTTGATGTCTTCCTTAGATAAGCCCTTGAGTGGACTTCCGAGGTCCTGGGACAGCCCGGCCATTTGAGGCAGATTTCCGCCTTTCTTCAGTATGTGTTACCTTGTTTTGATAACTACAAACAGCTTAGAGAAGCTGTTGGTCTTAAACCCCGGAACATTTCTGTGAGGGATTTCTGACCCTCCTGGAGCCCTGAGCTCACTGCATTTGTTGCATTTATATAAACCTTCGCCATCTACCTGTTTGGGAGAGCGCGGGCCTGGCCAGTGTGCAACGACCAGGGGATGGCACTCACCAACACAGAGGCAGGGAGAGGCTGAACTAGCCAGCGAGTCGGCAAAGGCCAGGGTGGCACCGCCTGGAGCCGGGCAGGCGAGCCAAGCCGGCGACCTGAAGCATCCGACGCACAGGGCGCTGCCTCGCTGCCCACCTGGACAGTGCAGCCCGCGATGGAGACCCAAGTGCGTGGTAGGCATGCGGATGCAGGGCACATGGGTGTGCAGGCGCAGGGGCTGGAGGAGTGCCAGGCCCTTCTTGATCACCAGACACTTTACAGGTCACTAAGAAAGGTGACACGTCTGTCAAGGATGCTTCCAGAAGCTCCAGTGCCCAGAATTCATCTGGAGAGTTTTCTGAGTGAAGACCAGCATTTCTGAAAGCAGTCTCTCCAGCGCAGCAAGCCCATCTATCCTTCTCTTCAGAACAATCAGGGATTGCTTACCATGTAGCAGGCACCTTTCTCAGCTTTTAAAACACCTTAACTTACTTTGGTCTCTACAGAAATTCTTTTTTTTTTTTAATTTCAGGGAAGGGTCTACAGGGCGTTCAGGACCTCACTACTAGATCAGACTTGTAGTGATCTACCTGTTTACAGCCTCCCAAGAGCTGGGATTACAGGTGTGCACCACCACGCACAGTCTCAATTGCTGTCTCGGTGTGCCCCGGGGGCGGGGCCAGCACAGCAGGCTCGGGGATCGAATCCCCGGCCCTGCCCCTGCTTGCAGGTGCCTTAATCTGCTGAGCTATCTGGCCGGCCTTCATCAATTCATTGTGGTAGGAGCTATTATTAACCCATTTTACAGGTTTGGAAGCTGAGTCAAGAAAAGTCTTATCATTTTCTCTGGGTCCAGCAGCTACCAAGAGCACCATGAATGACTCACAGCCCAAGCAGCTCAGAGTGCAAGCGAAACCCCGAAAACTGCTGGGGCGGCAGAACCTGCAAGAGGTTCTGCCGCCCCAGTTAGAAAAGCCCCAGAACCAAGGTGAATCCCAGTGTGGCATTCAGCAGCAGGATGCCTGTGCAGAAGGGACGCACACACCACTGAGGGCACAGAACGTTTTCCTTGGCTCGGTTGGAGCTTTCCCTTTTCATTCCAGCTTCCTCAATGCCTGCGTGTAAGTGAGGTCGACAGCTGACCGCTAAAGTTAACCAGCTTTTCTTTTTGGTTAAAAAGGTCAGATGCATTTATTTTACCCTGAGGATTTGTTACTGTTCCGGAATGGATACAGGATTCAGGTTTTGGGTGTCTAATAAGGTAGAGAGAGCACCCCCACAGAAGCAAGTGGGTAGCTGGTTCCCCCACCAGCCACTTCTCCTGGGAGCCAGTCACAGCTGGCTGAGCGCTTTGTCTTTATCCACCCAGCCACAGGCTTAAGAAGGGAGGGCAAAGGTCACCATCTCGGGAGCTGGTGGCAGAGTTGTAGCATGTTGGTATGCAAAATTAGAACCCCCTAACTCTTGCAATGTGACAAAGGATCACAGGTGGAGTAGTCACAGTGTTACCCTGGGCACATGGACAGAAGCCCCAGCTGTGTCCACTGGACTGCCTGGGTCCGAACATGCTTGCCAGTCTCAAGGCCAAAATGATGGCCTTGGATTTTCCTCTTGGTCGCTCTGTAAACAATCTTCCTAATCCCAGGGCCACCAAAGTACGATGCAAAGTAGTTCCATAGCTGTGACAGCCGATAAAATGGTCTGGCCACTTTCCTGCTCTTACACATGGTCCTCTCTCGCTGCTTCTGCGACTGCGCAGAATGGTGACACAGGCATCGGTTAGGAAGGCTTGCAGTCTGCACCACGCCACCCACACTGAGTTCTAGCACTGCGGAAGGGGGTTGGGGCCTGGTTGGCCAGAAGTGGCCTCAGGGCCCTGTGGGACAAGTCCTTCCTGCATCACCCAAGGATCCAGCTGGCGGAAAGCAGAGTCAGGGAGGGCATCTCTGCGCAGTGTGCACCTTCAGTCTTGCTCAGGCATTCACATCTGGACATCTGTCCAGGGTCGTGTCCTGGGAGAAGGGCTGCAAAGCCGGAGAGGATGGTGCAATTCACAGCTCAGGGTATCTGCTCCCCAGTTCTTCCTGCATATCTTCCTCCACTGTTAGCCCTGTGCAATTTTTTTTTTTAATTACTAGGACCATAATTTGACACCATGGTCAATTTGCTTTGGTTGAGCCACCAGGGCCAAGTTCAAGGGTAGAATACTTTGTCTCTCTTCTAGGTCCAGAGAATAAACATGGAATCTTACTTTGAGGGTGGTGATACCTGGGACAGTCAGCAAGAAAGGGGCTTTGGTGGAGCAGGATGAAGTCACACTGATCACTGGCTTCACAGGAATTCTCCAGGGACAGGACCTTGTCGTCTTTAAGCTGTGTGGCATTTGCAGTTTATCAGAAAAGCAGCGAACCTCCTTCCATATGTGTGGGATAGAGCGAAAGGAAAGGGCTTATTGCCCCGACCCCCAAACCCCAGCAGACACACCCTGCCTGTGGTTTGCAGACAAATCAAGGGAGGAGGAGGAGAGGACTGCTCAGGCTTGCACGTCTGCCTCCTGTGCAGGCCACCACACCCGGGGGCTGCTTGTGCTGGAGCAGCTGGGGATGACACAGACGCCACCAAAAGGGGGCTTATTAGTTCTCTTCTCCTGAGTAAGAGAAAGATCTACCCTTGAAGAAATCCAGGTGATTTCAACGCATGGAAAAGAAGACCCAGCTGCTTCTTCTTTGTGTCTGACCCTTTACCAAACGGATTGATGGTCAACACGGAGAAGGGACCACGAAGTCTTTGGGAGGAATCAAAACTGAGGGCAGCAGAGAAGCAGCAGATGACAGCTCATGGTGACGCAGCATCTAGGGTCAGGCTGCAGAGATGCCCACTTCCGGACACAGTCTCTTCCTGAGGCCCCAGTGGTTGGGCTTCCATCTTCCAAAGGGGGCTTCTTTCCTTCTCAGAACTTAGTCCACGACTTCCCGCTAAGTCTGCTACGCTTGCTTTGGCATTTCCGCACAGGGCCGGGCACCTCGGCCCGGGCTGCTCTGCTCATCTAAGATCTTCTTGGCTCGACTCTCTATGGGTGGAGCTAAGAGCACCAGTGTCCAAGCTGGTGGAGCACGGACCTCCGTTCTGGTCAGTGTGGACCAGGCACCTCCCCAAACACTGACCTCTGGCACCCCTCGTAGGGTAAAGAATGGCACGGACATGACACACCTGCCCTGGGCCAGGCTGAGCATATGGGTGTCCTCCAGGGGAAAAAACACCACCACCACCACCGCCACCACCAAACTTGTCTCCTATTTCTTTTGCAGGAGCTGAGGGGAAATTCAGAATGTGGCAGCACTCAGTGAGTGTGCTGGACGGTGAATAACAAGGGAGGGAATTAATGCCTACATCACCTACTGAGCATTAAACATGGGATCCTGAGAAAGGAAGGAATGAGACATGCATAGGAACC